TATGCCTGTTAAGGCAGATAAGCAGTTAAAGCGTGGAATACTGCAATCAGCCAGGTAGCTCGCCAGCCTACATATCTTCCAAGCTGCTACTAAGGAGTAGTCTTTCAGTAGGATACATTTAATACAAACTGCTGCAAATTAGCAAAGGTCCTGAGGGAGTAAATGGCTGACAGAAGCAGGTTAAACAAGTAGCTGTCAAACACAAGCTGATACAGGATGACTCAGAAGCGGACTGCTTCAAGAGTCAAAAATAGTTTCAAATCGAAACATGGAAAAGGAACCAGTTAAATCCTTGATTGAAGGTAGCTAGGCAATTCTTGGCTAGTATTTGAGACTTAAATGAAAGCAACAATCTACACAAAAACATGTGGAGGCCAAAACCCAAATCCATATGGCAAGGCCAGGAGCCTTCACAAATTATCGAGCTAAGGGTTTATATCCCTAGGAAAATTTGTGGTCATCTATAAAATCCTGAGAGTATCTCATCAGAAGTTAGCCCGATAAAATCAACAAGCAAAAACATACACTAATCGGCAGTATGCAGAGACTGAGAACAAGTGTCTTAGAGGATTTATTTAAAGCAAAAGAAGAGGAAAAATACAAATCATTTTCGAGTTTGCTTCCGAATCGCATCAGTTCGCCTCTTGTGCCGCTTGCTTTTAATATGGAGAAGCCATTGAGCAGGGTCGACGAAGACTCGACCCCCGCAGCTGTCACACACAAGGGGAGACGAGTAGACGTTTGGAGAGAATTCTTGAACGGGTTCGGGTTCGAGTGGACATGATATCGCCATCAGTTTAGTAATTTCATCTAAATTAGGCAGCTAAGAAAAATAAATTCCTATGAACAGAAGCATCCAAGAAATTCGATAACAAATTCATAAAATTGAATTTAAACCAAGCACACTCAACTAGCTAAGAGGTATTATCCTGACCAATGCGGTGATGAGCCAAAAGTATCAACAAGAAAACATAAGAACCTACGAATGTTCAGTCTCAAAACAAATACAGGAATGCAAAAAAGGGATTGCCTTAAGTTGTAAAGATCATACCTCTGGGACATCATATTTATGATATGAATTGCCAAATGCCTCATAGACGATCCGAACGGCAGGAGCAACGACCATTCTCATCCAAATATCAGAATGCTGATCAGCAGATCCCATAGCTGAACTATCCTGAGGCAAGGAAGTGATTGAGAGGACTTGAGTCGCATCAATCCGATATACAGGAATACTGCCCTCGACGGGACGCCGGAGGAAGCGGTTACGTACCCAAGAAACCTAAAATAGGAGTGACATATCAAAGGCAAACCTAGCCAAAACATAGATGTCATAAATTGGCAAGGACCGCGAACAGATAGTATATGGCTCTGACAAAATCACAAGTAACACCTTCCCAAATAAATAGAGAAAACACGCTTAGGCGTTAGTTTTAAGATTCCAAACATTTTCGACCCCTGAAGGAATATCTAGCATTCAATCTAAACATCTGTGACTCAATGGGATCATATTGCAATTAATAAAATACCAATAAGCTAGGTAGCATAGAAGGCTGAATGATCTGACAAATAAAATGCGTCAGCGAGGATTTTGAATTGATTCATTAAACCAAACAACAAGAACAGGGACGTTGAGCGGAGACCAAGGATTACAAGGGCGCCCGAGATAAACAATTTTCGAAGTTAGAAAGGTTACTCCGAGACACAATGTAGGTGCGTATTCTACCGAAGAATGCTCGGCTAAATTGACACCAGAAATAAGGAATTAAGACATGGGACATCCATACAAAAAACTTGAGACTACCTACGCGGTCTGTGTTAAGCAGTGAAATGAACATACGAGACTTGTCAATGGCATCCCCGGTATACCCGAGATGTGATAAAGGTAACATGCTCTTTTCGGAAGTGTAGCAGTGACCTGGCGGATATTAAGGTAAGTCAAGTTTTTTAAATCGCTTGAAAAATTCATTA